AGGTATCATGTTTACCATATTTTTCATAGTCCATTAATTTAGATTTATTATTTGATTAAGTTTTAAATTTCGATAATTTTTTTCAAAATTTTAAATTATTGTGTGGTAGAATAATTAAATTTAAATTCAGAACAAAAATTAATATTTCAAATAAATCTAAAATTAATAATTCTTTATGTCATTCCATTTTAGGAGATGTGTTTTCAAAAAAAAGGGTAATAACATTAAAAATTTCATGTGTCATGAAATTTATCGAAAAGTTTAATTTCAATTTTGTCTTCTTTTTCTCTCTTCCTCCTTTTCTCTCTCTCTCCCTCTCATCATTTTTGAATATTTGAATTACAGTTAAATTTCAATCATTCTCGAAACATTTTACCGCTTTTGCATTCCTGTTTTATTGGCGAAATTTGAAATGATAGGAAAGTTGAAAAAATACGTATCAAAAATTTTTTGATAAAATAAACAAATCTTCTGATTAATATTTTCATTGTTGATAAGAATTTATGATATCATTCTACAATAATGCACGCAATTTATTTCTGTCAATTTAATTTTGAAGAGTTTGTAGAATGAATAATTTTACTGAAATGATTTAACTTAAATGCTCGTTCAAAGAATTGATATCAAAAAATTTTTTTTAATATATTTTATATTACATAAGTAAAATTTTACAATTGAAAATTCATTCGACATCATTTTTCCTTTCATTTATTTAATTACAAATTTTACAATCAATCATTTTCATAGCTCAAATTAATTACTCAAAACTTGGCTCTTTTTTTTTCCTGATAAAAGATTAGAATTATGAATAATTATGAAACAAAACAATGAAAAAGTTCAAAAGGTTAAAGTATCTATAGGCTTAAGTAAAATTTGCATGCTTTTTTGATAAGAATTTTTGATATCATTCTGCAATAATGCACGCAATTTATTTCTACCAATTTAATTTTGAAGAATTTGTAGAATGAATAATTTTAATGAAATGATTTAACAACTTAAATATTCTTTCGAAAAAGATATCAAAAAATTCTTTTTAATATATTTTATATTACATAAGTGAAATTTTACAATTGAAAATTCATTCGACTTCATTTCTCTTTTTCTTTATTTAATTATCAAATAAATAAATAATATTAATTATATTTTTTTTGGAATGATTTCAATCAAATGAATTTATCAGAATACTAATAATTGCTAATTTTTTATTTTACATATTATTTTTATTATTGTATTAGCAATAATTAATCCATTGTTATTTTAATTACTGTATTAACAGCAATAATTAATCCATTGTAATTAACTTATTGTTTCTAATTAGTGCATGTTATCAATAATTAGTGCATTATCAATAAGTGTATTATCATCAATTTCCTCTGATTCATTCCCTCTAACCAACTGTTTCGAACATTACTCGAAAAAAAGCGATGTATTTTGAATTGCTTAACTTCATTTCACATTTCAACACTTTGTGGATAGGTATGCTTTTTCATAGGAAATTTCTTATTGAGCATATATTTTGATATATTAAATAATTTTCATTTGGTATATGTGAAATCTCTGATGACATTTAATTTCATTATCAAATATCGTTGACCTCTTTTATCACTTCCACATCAATCCATATTTCTTATTTTATATTATCAAATGCTGTTCTACTCTTTTATCACATTGATTATTATTATCAAATATTATTCAGCTCTTTTATCACTTTCATATCAATCCATTTTTATTAACTTTCATATTAATCTACATTTCTCATTTTCATTATCAAATATTGTTCAGCTCTTTTATCACTTTCATATCAATCCATTTTTATTAACTTTCATATCAATCCATATTTCTCATTTTATTTTATCAAATATTGTTCAGCTCTTTTATCACATTTTTATTATCAAATATTGTTTAGCTCTTTTATCACTTTCATATCAATCCACATTTCATATTTTTTATTGTCAAATACTGTTAAACTCTTTTATCGCATTCATTTCTATTATCAAATATTGCTCAGCTCTTTTATCACTTACGTTTTCATTATCAAATATTATTCAGCCCTTTTATCACTTTCATATCATTCCACATTTCTTACTATGCTTTTAAAAAAAAGTTCATTTTAAACAATTTTTTGTTTAAATTAGTAAATTTTGAAATATTAGTAAGATATATGATAATTGAATACTTTTTCCATTATTTTAATGACAGAATGAATAATTACGACAGATTATAAATTTTAACTAATAATACAACAAATCATAGTATTGCTTATTTTTTAAATTTTCAGTCGTATTTTGAAATTAATTGAAAAAATTATTTGATACAATTTTTATAGCAATATTCTATAGATAGATTAAATGATGAAGGATTCTTTTTGTTTTATCAGAATTAAATAATGAAATATTAAATGAAATGAATCAATTGTTCTGCTACCTTCCTAAATTTCAATAATTATCATTCTGACAGCTTCTCCTATTCTTTTGTACTTTTCTTTTTTTTCGTTCCGAAAAAGATTTGAATTAAAAATTATGAACATAAAAATTTGTTGAATAGCATGCTAACAATAATTTCATCTCTCTTCTACAAAATGCATGATAGAAATTTTAATTAGCTAATTAATCACTAAGTATCATGTATAAATTGAAAATTTTAGTTAGCTAATTAATCACTAAATATTATGTGTGAATTAGAAATTTTGACTAGCTAATTAATTACTAAATACTATGCATAAACTTTTCGCTTTGAAAGAACATTAGGTGATTATTCTCAATTTTAACTTATGTATTTTTATAAACAAATATATTTTACTAATTTTTTTCCTACCTGTTTATTTATCACTCCAAAAATTTTTTTTCATCTAATAAAATTTATGAAATGAATTTTGCAAAATATGTAAATTTCATAGTTTTTAAATGGACAAAAAATTTTCACAAAAATTTTACATTATGTCAAAATTTGAAAATTTAATAAGACAATTAGAATTTAGTAAAGTTTCTACCTTAAATCTTCTACCTCAATTTAAAATGCCAATAGAAAATTAAGTTTGAAAAAGCGATAGAAATTAGCTATGAATAAATTTCAGCAGATAATAAAGAAAATGAAAGAGAAGAATGAATGGGTAAAAATAGCAAATATCAATGATATCAGTGATTATTTCATTATCTAATTATCTTCCTCTTCACTTATCTTCTGCAAACTCAACAACTTTATTTCAGGCTATACTTCTTAAATTTTATTTTATATGTTATTAAATCAAGCCGTATGTTTTGCGAAGTACGAACGCAATGAACAAAGAAAACGTGAAACATACGTAAGTTGCATTCTTTTGATTTAATTATTTGATTACTCAATTATTTAATTATATATTTATTATTCATTAATTTATTTATTAGTTTCAAATGTTATTAATTGATTCAAGCAAACAATTACTTTTCTCTCTTTCAATTTATTTTATCTTACTTTTCGGTCTCGTTATTGCTTACCTTATCACTGTTATGACTTTTTATTGCTTAACAAATGTTATCAATAAATTATCAATGCTTCTTTTATTACTACATGAATGAATTAATAATAAGAGATATGTTTGGAATTAAATGTGAATTTAAGGTCGCAGTGATAATTCCATCAAAATATCTATGAACCTTTCTTGCATAATCAAATGCAGAGCTTTTTGCTATGTAATCTAATCTGATCGGATTAAATTTTTCTTAGTGATAAGATGATATCGAGAAATGATGGGAATATTTAATTATATATTATTATAGAAAACAGTCTCATACTACTAAAAATAATTTCGTTTCAATCATATCAGATGATTTCATTTCCACATCAATTTAATAATGTATAATAGCGCCGTGCGCTGTACGACATACGACATACGACAATGATTCGTCATTTAGACATGGCTACATAGAGTAGTAATATGTATATGCAAAAATATTATAAAAAATTAATTGATAAATTAAATATTAGGAAGTTTATACTTTGAATATTAGCATATCAAATTTTATTTATAATTTTTAGACCAAAGTCTTTGATGATAAACTTTTATCGAATTTTATTCATTCTATATTTTATGAATAATTTCAAATTGAAATTTTTTTATAAAGAAATTCAGACTATACTGTTACATTTGATTTAATGAATTTTTCAAATTCGAGATGTCATTATGCGGAATTGCTAAGCAGCAATGAAAAGTAAATAAAAGTCTATCATTGTGCACCCGGCGATCCTCAGATATAATAACTGTAGAAGATGATTGCTAGCACAACTAATATTTGCAGTAACGTTAGAGTAAATGCACTAATGCAAATTATACAATTTATAAATTATACAATTATATATTATAATAAATTATACAAATTATACAATCACTAATGCAAATCATACAAATTCTGTAATAGTAAATACTAAATTTTAGTTGTTACAAATTTTCCTTTCAAATTGATCATTTTGAAATTTTGAAGACATTTCTCAACTTTGATGTTTTTCCTTAATTACTTTTCCTTAATTAGTTCTAACCTATATTCTTTGCTGCTTTTGTTTACTGTTCTTTATCCTTTAATAAATCACTTAATGAACTTCCATTCAAATTTCCTTCATGAAATTAATCAATGAATAATTATTATAAGGATATTACATTGATGACAGTTAAAAACATTCTCATCTGATACATTTACAATTTTTAGATACCAAAATGTACTCAAAATTTAAATCAAAATTTCAATCAAATTTTTTTGCTTTACTTTTTTGATTTCCATTTTCGGATGAATTCAATAGAACGGATATGTTTGTTTACTTTTCTCATTCGTTCGTTCTCATTTCTGTTACTCAAAAAAAGATGCAAAAATATATTGAAATAGTTTGAATGAAATGTTTACTTCAATTACTTAAAGGGTAAATAGCGCTTTATTTATAGAAATAAAATTAGACAGTTTTGTAAATTCCTCAAATTTAAAATTAGATTTCAAACGAAATTTTAATCAGAAATTGTTCGGATAGCAATTAGAATGATTCATCAAAACTCTTTGAAAGATCAATGGAAGGATGGTGGAGGATATATGCCTGAGATTATGGAATCATTGCTCTCAAAGAATCGCCTAATAAAAGGTAGGTAGATTAAATGGTTGACTTTTAGGAATTAGTAAGTATGGATTAAACAATATCATTCATTAATGGTCATTAAATGACCATTAGTATTATAATAGTTTATAATTCATAACATTTTTAATGATCATTAAATGACCATTAAAGATATGAATTTAATTAAAAGCAAATTATTTCGATTGAAATTTTCAACAAATTTAAATTTTAGTTTAGCTATTTTGAGTTAATAGTTCTTGCAAGAAGTTATAATATTTTTAAATTTTGGAATATCTTAATTTTTTCATTTTTGAAATTTTATTTTGTAATGCTTTTGAAATTAATTAATTACTAAAACTCTTCTCAGCGAGAAAGAATGATAAATTTTACATATACTATTTACTCAAACTTTTCATTGACCTTTTCATTTGACCTTTATATCGAATTAGAATTAACTCTCTCTCTCGCTATCTCTGTATTAGAAAATTTCTAATTCTATACAAGAATTCTAACAGTACTTGAAATCAATATTCAATCGATTTTCCATTCTTCTAAATTTGATTTCTTCGCATACTATAACTATTTTCTATGCCTCATAGATGAATGATATCAATACTAATTAATTTATTTATTAATTAGATGTGAAATATGTGAAACAACCAAATGAATCAATCAAACATTTTGGAAGATGGCTTTTTGGGATCATCATTATAGCGATTGCTATCACATTTATGTTCTTCCTCTCATACAATAATTTCTTTAAACGAGTAACCGTGCAACAACAATCTGCTGCTCCACTAATTGAATCCTATGATCAATATGCAGATGAAGAGGATATTGAATATGATGATGCGTTTGGTATTCAACCAAATATCACCAATACCTTCCAGGATGCTAGCAATGATATGGAACAAACCAAGAAAGCTTACGTAGATTCGACTTTATCACTATATTATGATGATGAATCAGAAAAATTAATTGAAGGTGCTTTTATGCACTCAACACTATTTTAGAATTTGAAAAAAAATCCATTAAAAAATTCAACTTTGTCGAAAAAATTGAATTATACCAAGTTGATACGAATTTTTCGAAATTCCAACATGTCGTGTTGAATTTATTTTCAGATGATATGACAAAAGCAGTGCAAGAGATAAAATTAAACGATGAAATATTTACGACAATTTTAAATCAATTGATAATCACAGAAATACCGAAAACTATTTTACTGGATGAAAATTATTTTAATTTATCAACTTTTACTACTATTCCTATTCTTCCTACTACGATTACTACAAAGATTATTTCGGATATTACTGCTAATACAACTGATAAGTATAAGAAATATAAAATTAAGGCATATATTGAAAATTCTTTCCGCACTTTCACAGAGCTACCAAAAGTTTCACCTAAGAGTTTGAATGTCGCGGATTTTCCAAATTCTACTGATGCACTTTCAAGCTCTAACACAACCGACAATATACTATCTTTCGGGAGAAATACCAATTCAGAGACACCAATTATTCGACACTTTCCAACTTCCAATAATTTAGCAATAACAAATTCAGAATTTATTGAAAGTAATGGAGAAAATGATATTAATCCAACTGCTATGGCAGCGGTGGAATTTACCGCAAATTCACGAAATTTACAACGAACAACAATTTCACAAGAAAACATGATGGTAATAGATGAAGAAATTGACGCGGAAATTGAAGATGAAGAAAATGAGGATGAAGAAGATGATTATGAATATGAAGATACTATGTATAAAATTCCAACTGTTAATATTATTTCATCTTCAATTACAACATTAACTACTACTACTACTACTGCTACCATTACTACTACTACCAGTGTTACAGTATCTAACGTAAGGCTTATTACCATTTTAGGTTTTGTTTATTAAGAAAGTATACTTTGAAATGAAAATATATAGCCATTTTAATCTTAATCCTTTAATCACTTTGACAACTATTTTTTTGATTTTTATCTTAATTTTCAATTTTACTCGATTTTAAAAGCCTCACGTAAATCTTCAAGGGAAAAAAACTATTCAACTTTAAAAATATTCTAATTATCATCTACTAATAACCAAATTCCATATATCAACATCAAATTATGAACTGGAATTCCAGTTCATAATTAATATCACATATAATATCACATATAATTATCACATATAATTATAATATTCAACAACATCATTATTATCACTATCCATTTAAGGATTATGATCATCGATCACCAATAATTGTCACAGCTTTATTCGATATTGGTCGTGGAAAATGGCCCAGATACACTAGAACCTACGAGCAGTATATGCATTATTTAAAGAATTTATTGAAATTAAAAAACTGTTTGGTTATTTATACCGACACAAAGGGAGCCCAATTTGTACGACAAATGAGGAATAGTCATAACACTCAGGTAATATTATTATCTTTGTTCATATTTTTACCTTTTTTATCTAAATATCTAAAAGGTTAAATTTGCATAAAAGCTTTTTATAAATTTTTAATTTAATTAGAAATGATTATTTTTTCTATTAGCATTTTTTTATAAGATCAAAATAACGACAATATTGTTCATAATGATAAGTAATTCAGTGATAAGTAAAATTTTAGATATTTGAAATGTCAATGCATGATCTACCTTTGTATAGGTATCGAGATGAAATGGAAAGTATCATAAGACGAGAACAAGAAGGTGATGAAATTTTTTGAATTTTAATAACTGCATTAAATTATTATAGAAACAATTATGGATGGAATTCCTTTAGACTTGGATAATTTTTGAAGAGAGAGAAAGAGAGAGAGAGAGACAGAGAGAGGGAGGGAGATAAAACCAACATCGTAAACTTTTTTCAACATTTTCAACTTTTTAAACAATTTTTGGAAATAGAAAAATTATTTTCACAAAACAATGATAATTTTAGATTGGCAATTTGGTCCAAAAACACGCTATCATCCGGAAGCGAATAGCGCCGATTATAATATAATTGTTAATTCGAAACCGTATTTTTTGTATAATGCAACGTTAAGTTCCCGATTTCGAGCATCAAACCGGATGTTTGCTTGGTTTGACGCCGGATATGGTCGGTAATTAAATTATTTTTTATCTAAGCAAATAATTTAAGTTATAGGAAATTATCTCAAGCACTGTTTAGGTCACGGCCGAGAAGGAATCATTCCGAATCATTGTCATTGGCAACCGAATCTTCGGCGTAATCGCATGACAATTATTAAACTGACACCAACACATGATAAAGTGTCCAGGCTTGTGAAGATTTTTTTTTCCGCTTTGACCAATAAGAAAATTCAATTTGAATTAATTGATTAAACTCCTTTGATGCATAAATTTTCAGATATTCAATAACTGATTTATATCGTGTTGATTGGGTTGTATTAAGTGGTGGATTCATTGCTGGTGACAGCCATACAATTAATCGTTTTTATCGGTTTTATCAGAAATCATTTATGGAATTATTAGATTCTGGAAGGATTGATGATGACCAGGTGAATCTGTTTGAAAGTTATGTGAAATTACTAATTTTATTGCTTTTTGAATTCACAAAAATAATTGAATGTTTCCGCCGATCCTAACCAAATAAATGACTTCTGTACCATTTCCGGTTTCAAAGCTGCTTCAAATTCGTATCAGTTGACACAAAACCGATCAACAGTTTCGAAACTCAGTTAGATAATAGTTTCAAATGGGATATGCAATTTGACCTGACATATGATGAAGTCAATAATAATACAATTCGAATTCAGGCTACTCTTTTTCCATTGCTAATTTTAGGCTGAACTGAAATTGAATTCTTTTTTCAGACAGTATTGACACTGATGCTTAAGCATTATGCCACTTTGTTCAATCCGATAACCAGTAACGGTGATTGGTATGCCGTATTTCGACTATTTCCCTGTCATGATCAGCAATGATCTTCGTTATTGTTAAGCTCAAGATATACCAATATAGCAATCGGATACGGTACTTGGAAGACTGCCTTTTTTGAATTTATTTGTCAAAAGCTCGAAATGAAAGAGTGTAGAAAATAGAGCATTTGACAAATCAATTATTTATTATAAATTGCTTGCTGAAATATCTATCCGGAAAGCTAATTAAAATAAAGCGATAGAAAGCACATTTAATTAAACGTAAATTAATTAATACCAATAGACAAATCATATAAAAATATCAGAAAATTTTTCCCGCAATAATTTTTTACTAAAATATCTAAAATTATTTTTAGATTTTAATTAAATTTTTTGATATTATCAAATTTGATTTATTTATAGCTTAATTAAATTCCAAAAAGTTTTTGTCTTAAAATTTTAAATTAAAAAATTTAAAATTCAACAAAATTTTCACAGTAAATTTTTAAACGAAAGATTGCTCATTTTTAATTAAACTAATTAAAATGAAAAAACTTCATTAATTGTATTAAATATTTTTTATCCCATACGGCGTAAAGTAATTATCATTACTTCTTTAAAAGTGAAAAGTTAAAATTGAAATTTTCAATTTCAACTTTAACCTTTCGCTTTTTTCTCCTTCAAGCATTTTAATACTTTCTGTGCCTTATATTCAATTTTATATCCAATTCGCATTTGTTCCACACAGAAATTTCCAAGTACATTCCATGCATCGAATACATCGATTGATGTTTGATCAGCGTTGACAAATTCAACGAATGCCTGATTTACTACCTGAAAAGATCCTTTCTTCGTTTTAAATTTCAAATATTCATTTTGGCTTATTTTACAACAATTAGCTTTATGCTATTTTGTTATGTTATAAAAATGTAAAATTGATAATAATAATGATCAAACATCGTATTGATTTTTTCGATAAATTTCTTTAAGACATTATTTTGTGATTACATTTAAGGTAATACCTGAAATACTATTATATTTAAAGTTATACCTGAAATACTATTATATTTAAAGTTATACCTGAAATACTATTATATTTAAAGTAACACCTGAAATACTACTTTTGAATTAACATCAAGTTATCTTAACCTTTTTTTAGTATAATTTGGTTCTTCTAAAAAAAATTTTCACAAATGCTTTAATTATTACTAAAATTATTTTATATTAACTTTCACTAATTTATTACTTTCATTTTCAAATTAGACATTGTAGGATTTTGTGGAAAAATTGTTGAAATTTGATACCTTCCAATAATTACTTCGATATTGTATTTCTGTATGAATTACATGTCGTGCACCCAATGCTTGCAATGATTTACTCATTGCAGTTGGATTATGCAAATGTAACATAACAAATGATAAAGTTGATCCTACTGCCTAAATAATTAGAATGATAAAAAATCAGAATTAAATTTAAAACAAATCTCAAAAATGATAATTTAATCAATTCAATAAATTGATAATTTTTCCCGATTATTTATGAAAAATATAACGTTTCCTTTTCTATGAAATCAAAATGATAAAATTTTAATTAGAATTATTCTAATTACAATCTTTCTATTAAAATCATAAATTATATTTATTTTCAAATTATCATAAATGTTCGTTTTCAAATTATCACAAATGTTTATCTTCAGCTTATCACAAATGTTTATTTTCAAATTATCACAAATGTTCGCTTTCTAATTATCACAATTGTTTATCTTCAAATTATCATAAATGTTCATTTTCGATTTATCATAAATGTTTATTTTCAAATATGAAAAATTCTTGCAAAAAACTTCTTTCATCATATTGCAACAGATTTTTCTAAATGAGTTGAAATAATCGTTGCTGAATATTTGTTTATAAATGAATTGATGGAATATTTTAGGCAACCTATTCATATCATTTGTATTTATGATTCATAAATTAATTGAAAATTTGAATAATTTCGAGTTACGAAAAGTAACTTTTTAAAGTATTATTTGATGGCAATGACATTTCGAAAGTATTATTTGATGAAAATTAATGACACAAAAAATTTTCATAAAAAATTATATTTAATTAGCTGTAAAAATTTAATACCATTTAATGATAGAAAGTAATAATAATACTCAAATGAAAATACTTTAGTACTTTGCAAATTAATTTTATTAGATTAAAGAAAAGTAAAGAATTCTTATTTGTTAAATTTAATAATGAAATTAATTTATAAGCATTCAAATTCTTTTAGAGAATTATTTAAGATCACAGAATGAAATTTCGCATTGACAAGTATAAAACAGACTGGAATTTAAGTTCAATATTCTGTCAGCAGTTATTTAATTCCAGTACAATGAACCAGACTAGAGCTTGGGCTCGATATTTCGTCAACAGTTATCTAATTCCAGTTTAATAAAGCAGATTGGAACTTAAGTTAACAGTTATCTAATTTCAGTTTACTTCTATCATTAAAATAATTGTAAAGTCAGTCACTATTGAGAAAATAATTTTAGATACCAAAATTAGAACTTTCATTAGTCTTCAAATAAAAGTCGAATTGCAAAAACAAGCAAAACTAACTAACGAAATAATAAATAAAAATAATTATTCATAGTGAGAAATTGTGAATCGGAAGAATTCATAACCTTAACGTGAAGTTCGAAAATTTGATTTTTCCTCAATTCAAAATAAGGCACATTTGGTAAATGTAAAAGTGCCTGAAGACGTGGATCAATAATAAATATACGCAATAATAATCGACTTGCAAGTTCCGCTTCATTATCTCCGCACTTCTTCATTTCCTACACAATATAGATAATTAGATGATTAGATGAAATTTTAGATAATTAGATGAAATTTTAAATTATCTTCACCTCACTATTGCATTTTCATCTTAGTTATTACTACTCTTCTTGTTTCTACCACATTTAACCTTTACCCTTTATAAGAGAAGCTAAAAATAGCTAATTTCATTTTTCAACGATAAATTTCCTACTTCCAGTAAAAACACTATTAATTAGATAATAAAATAAAGAAAATAACCTTTTTCCATAATCGTCGAATTGCATTATTTTGTGAAGGATTTAAATCACCTGATATTTGAATATTTGGTTGTAACGCTTGTCTATAAACATTAACATAATCAAATATAATAATAGTTGAGAGAAATAGAACATCCCGGGATATGAGAACAAGTAAATAAAAAACAAAAGAAATAGAACATCCCGGGATATGAGAACAAATAAATAAAAAACAAAAGAAATAGAATATCCCGGGATATGAGAAGAAATGAATAAAAATCAAAAGAAATAGAATATCCCGGGATGTGAGAAGAAATGAATAAATGAAAGTGATAGGAAAAAAATTTAAATAACATGTTTAAATATATTTTGAAGAGAGAGGAAAAATATTAGTGGAAACCTAAGATTGCTGGATGATAATGAAAGTGCTTCAACATTCGATACCAATAAACTTTGCTCCATTTTTCTAAATGAAAAAATTGCAATTAAACTTTCAAACTTTTTTTTTAAATTTAATTTTTTAACTTTGAATAAATTTAAAAAGTAAAATTTGAAAGTGCAAAATTTGACTTTCAAATTTTACTCTTTAATTTACACTTTTTAAATTATAATTGTTTTTCAATTTTTATACTTTCAATTTTACTCTTTCAACTCATTCAAAGAATTAAATTGTAAAAAGTAAAATTAAAAGTTTCCTATTATTTATAATATCAATCAATAAATAACCTACCGATTCTCAGAATAGCTTCGCGTTGAATTTGCATTTTTTTGTCGTTGAGATAAGCATACTGGTAGTAGTAAATCATTCGTCACACAACTACACTTTGCTTGTGGTAATTGTGACGGTGAATTAAGACATGAAGCTTCTTCCTATATAGCAAATAATTAATTATCAGAAATTTGAATATTTGTATTATTCTTATTTATTGATAAATTAATTGATAGCAAAATTTCGTGATATACAGATAGATGAATTGTAACTCTCAAAAGAAATTGGTAGAATAAATGACCTTTGCCTACTTAACAGCTTATCAATTTTATAAGCTTTTGATTTTTATTAAAAAATGAAGATAGCGAAATTTCGCCATATACGGGTAGACTGTCAAAATATACGGGTAACTGTCAGTATACGGGTAACTGTCAAAATAAATTGATAAAGTAAAATGACCATTGCCCATTTGATAGTTATCATCAATTTTGTAAGTTTTATTCCTATTTATTCATAAATTATTTGACAGCAAAATTTCATGATATATAAGCAGAGAAATTGCAGCTTTCAAGATTAATTGATAGAATAAATGACCATTGTCCATTTGTTTTAATAGTTTATCAATTTTCTAAAGCTCTATGTATCACAAAACGAAAACACTGTACAAATTGTTTACAAACAAACTTTTTCATGCAAAAATTATATTACAAGTAATTTTTATTTATTTTCACATATTTATTTATCACTTAAATTTACCGAATTGTCTCATTAAAATATTAAAAACAAACAAACAAACAAATTTTATTGTTTTTCACAATTAATTGGAGAAAGCTTTTTGAAATTAAAAAGAATGAAAATTAATTTTTCAAAATAATATTTTTATTACTTTTTTAAAAGAATATAAATTATAGGCATTGATTTTGGTTTTTTTAAGAATTTTCAGGGGGAGAGAGAGAGAAAGAGAGATAGGCAAAGAAATTTTAATCATTTCAGGCTTCCCATGGGTAAACAAAAATATTAAACGAAAAACAAAAACACAGTAAGAAAAAAAAACATACGAAATTGATTGATGAAGATTTTCGAGATTGAATTGTCATAAATTCTACTCTCTGTAAACAATATAAATTTCAACGATGAAAAATTTGAATTACATAAAAGATTATTTATAGCCTTTCTTTTTAATATACTATAAAATCCTAACTTTGTAAAAATAAAATTGCTTATTTTTAAATCTCAAAAAAATGACAAGCAAGAAATTTAAAATATAAAATATTTTACTAACCGAATATCGTTGTAATAATGATGAATGTCGTGGTGATTCTGTTAAACCAATTTGATTAACTGATTCCACACTTCCCATTTGTTAAAAAATATTTATATTATAATTAAATGGATCTAATTAAGCATAAAATAATGGTGATGTTATCATGATTATTTTAATTAGTATTATTATCATGATTATTTTAATTAATATTATTACGGAAATAATAAAAAAGTTGGTTATTTGGAAAATTAAAATATCATTTTTTTTTGTTTGAAATTTTTAAGATATAAATAAGCTTATCTAATTATGAATCATTTCTGTAATAATACTAATTAAAATAATCATGATAACATAGTTATAAATAATCATGATAATATGGTTATTTAGAAAATTCGAAAAATTGTTGAAAAGAAATAAATACATGATTGTGGTAATAGAAAAATATTCCTAGTAAGCCAAGTTAATTTCTCTCAAATTTTCATGAATCGCTAAATGGAAAAATCGAGTTCATCGGGAATCTCATAAATTACAAAAATTACTTTTAAATTTAAAACCGTTATTTTGGTTAAAAAATAAAGGTAAAAATCAATAAATTCTAATTGTCCTTTGCACTATTACGAGAAAGTCAATTAAAATTTAAAAAAATTTACAAAAATTAATATGAAAAAAATTAGGAAAAGGAAATCTTTGCAGACTAAATATAATAAATTACAGTGGCTATTTCTGATGGCTATTTCTGCTTATTAAAATGACCCATAATGAATTCTTTACGATTGCAAATGTTGTAATGAATAAATAAAATAAAACTATTCAATATATTATTGATTGCTTGTAATAGACTTCTAATCGAGAGTAATCGGAAAACTGAATAAGCAACACCGATCGTCGTAAAAATTCCATGGCTAATAATTTCGAAAAAAAAAAAAAGGAAAAACTGATTCTCGTTACGACGTTTCGGAGATTAAACAAATGGAATGCTTAGTTGTCCCAAAGGATACATATGAATTGATGACTTCAACAGAAAAAAACAAAGTTTTTTAAGTTTTTAATGTATACGAAAGACTATCATATTTTCAGGAGTGAAAATATGTTGAATAAATGATTTATCATACTTCCTTTTCTTGAAATTTTAGCAAAAAAGTATATGTGTGTGTGGGCGGAAAGATATTATTGATGTTTGAGGAAAACTCCCAAAACCCGCGATCGGGAGATCCGATCGGGAAACTCCCAATTTTCATTCTTTCTTAAAATATGTTTATACAATTTATTGGGAGTTTCCGGATCGGATCTTCCCGGATCGGATCCGATCGGGAAACTCCCAATTTTCATTCTTTCTTAAAATATGTTTATACAATTTATTGGGAGTTTCCGGATCGGATCTTTCCGGATCGGATCCGATCGGGAAACTTCCAATTTTCATTCTTTCTTAAAATATATTTATAAATTTCTAAATTTTAATTAATGCTTATTTCATTTTTTTTAAATAACAGTTAATTTCATTATAATAACTTATTTCATTTGTTGCAATTTAAATCAAAGAATTTTTTGAAGTTTTAACTTTAAATTACTTTGTTCTAGAAAGTACTGGACAATTTTATAATTTGCTTTTGTTTTTACTCCCTGCTAAGTATAACTTTATTAGGAACGATTTTTTTTTTTGCAGTTATTCTATCATTCTAAGAAATTGAAAATTTGCAAAGGTCATCACAACTGACCTTTTCAGTGTGATTCAAACTGATCCTACTAGAACTGTATTCGAGAAATCTATCTACTACTATTCTACTTTTTAACCATTTGGTCATCTCAAACTATTTATCAAAACTAGCGCGTTCTTATTCTTCTCAATTAATGCTTTATCTTTTCAAAATTATTTTTACAGCTTTACTGATTGCTTATCAATCTTTTTTTATTAATGGAGATGCAAATAGTAGTTGAACTTTTTATTCACCTTTTAGTATTGATGACAGCCTGAATTATCTTTAAACATTATGATTTTAGGCTTTCACACTTCTTTGGTAGGTTCTCTATTACGACATATTAATTTTATGATAACTGTTCAAAATATACAATCCGTTGCTGTTATCTTAAATTAGGGCCTATTAATTTAAGAACCTACTTCTTATTTGACCTCTTTTCTTGTTAGTATTGTCTGTCCCAGTTTTAGTTGCTTCGTAGGCCAATTAAAATTTTGAAATATCAAAATTCAATAACGCGATTTCTCAATTATCCGAGAATTCTTCGTGAATTTAAAGAAGATTTTAGAAGGAAATTAATTCATACTAACTTACCTGTGAAGCTATCACTCTAAAGAGTAAAAAAAAGATTTTAGAAAGAAATTAATTCATACTAACTTATCTGTGAAGCCATTACTCTTACCTTACCTTTACTTTAAAGAGCAATGGCTTCACAGGTTAGTATGAATTAATTTCTTTCTAAAATCTTTTTTTTTAAATAAATTTATCAATATATACATTTTAGTTCGGTAATTGTTTCGAAGGATGTTCGTAATAAAATAGGATAAAAAATGATAAAATTTTCGGAAGTGACATATTTCGTTAATTTCCTTCTTATTTCTTTCATTTTTCAAATTCCAATAGTTACATTGCAAGAAATAGTAAAGAAAAAAAGAGATGAAGTAATTTTGAATATTAGTAAGATTTAAAAATTTCTCAACCAAAACAGAATCGTAATGAGTTAGAGCAAAATTTTTGAAATAATAGAAATGAATGGGGAAAGGAAGAACTTGATGATATTGAGAGAGATAGAGGATGAAAAAGAGGATTGTATATCGAATAACTTTAACTGGTCTCGAACATTGAGACTAATTTTAGTCTTACTTACTTCGAGCTAATCACTCGAATCAGTTCTAATTGCTTGATTATATTACAGAAATATAAATTGAAAATTTAGAAGTAGGACAATTAGTTTGCATAGTGTGGTCCGTGCAAGTAGAGTTGGCCACTAAGATCAAATTTTGGTTGAACTGTTGGTGATGAGATTTGAGGGGGCAGGTGGATTGTTCGAGTAGTTGGAGTGGGGCTGTTATTTTGGTTCTTTTGAGATTAGAAATAGTTCTTGTGGTTATCACTCTTGATATATCTAACTATTAATGAGTTGAAATCTTGACATATCTAACTTTTAATGGGTTGAAATCGCTAGATGAGATATCTTTTGAATATTGATATTATGTGAAAGTGAGTAAAGTAATTTGTAATTAGTTGCAGTCTGTTTTATTTTAAAAGTATTTAAAATGTAAAATTTAAGTTTATGCGTAGATTATTTTGTGTAGATTATATAAAAAATATGGCTATATTTTTCTCGTTATTTGGATAAGACTTACGAGTTTATCGAGCGATATAAAGCTTATTTTTGAAATTTAACAAATACCAATGAAGAAAAGCAATGACCCTTAGGCATACTGTCATGATTGGAACGGTTTAAGGTGGTTGATTATTGCAAATGTTATCATAAAAGTTATTCTGCTTGAATTTCTGATATATTGATACTACTGTTCTTAATCAATCGAAATTGGAAAGAGAATTATTCTTCGAAGCCTGTACCATTCAACGTATTAGTAATTCAAACATTATTATTTCTACTTTTTGCTGAAAGTTTTTTTTTCGATAAAAAAATGTTTCCCGAAATACACATTTCAGATCCTCTTGATATGTTCATCTCCCTTTATAAATTTTAAGAAATGTACATCGATGTCTAATCCAGTACACTACGAATCGTTTCGTAGTGATGGTACACTCCTCGATCGCAACAGCAGCACTAGTAGTGATCGTAGCAGAATTTCCTCCCAAAACACGTCATTTAAAATCACATCACCCAAGGTAGGTCGTCGTTAAATTTTTTCTTTCCTCTAAATACAAGTCACTGATAGTTACCTGAGCATTATGCACCTGTCTGTTAAGAGAGAGAAAGCAGTTTTGAAAGTGGAACTATAGTATTTTTATAATTTATTGTATGTTCATCATAGAAGGTCAGAAGTTACTAAGGCACATGAAGTAGGAAAATACGAGGCTTGGATTAAAATAGGAACTAGATTTGCCAAACATAACCGAGAGATTGCAGTTATCGCGACAATCAGATACATTTGTTGGCAGTTCCGGTTTGATAGGTGACAGTAACACTGGATTGTGTTTTCTGATAAAATAACTTACAGAAGTTGTGTGAAACACTATAAACATTAATTCAAATATTTAGAATCCAATCTGGTTAAGTTTTGGCCGATTAATTAACAATAACTCCTTCTTTCATAAAGTAATTTTTGTGGCAAAGAAATGAAACTTGTAATGTTAAATTAGTTCAGATGCTTTACCTAGTTACTTCACAGAACATGAGGAAATAAGAATGTTCTAAAATAAATTATTTTTAATTACACACATGCTTTTTCTTAGTAATGATTAAAAGACTTATGTTTTAGCCTCCATGAATGTTAATCATGTTTACCTATAGCAGAGATTGTGATTTATTAAAATCCCTAATGGTTGAATTGCTTCAGTTTGTGCATATATAAAACTTTTGCGATTAAGGGATATGAATTTAGAATAAAATGATTCAAATTATATTTGTGACCAGTTATGTGCATAATTTATCATTTGGATCAGCTGATTTTTTCACAATTTTTTTAATGTACTAACTGTAAAATGATATATTTATATATAAATAGGCATTTAAGCATGACTATGGGAATAGGCAGCGATCAGCTTCTGTTGCATGGAGCCATTACAGCGATTGGAAAGCACGCGATGTTTGTTGTCCTTTTTTGTTGCACTAAAAACTCACTATGCTTTATAATCTGTTACTTAAATTTAATCTGCTTCCTAAATATTTTTGCAAATTATAATCTGAACTTGTTTTATGTATGTTTTAATTTCCGATTAAGAGAGATATATTCGGAGGTATTTAATAAAACAGCTACAAAAAAGAAATAAGTATATAATTATTGCATCGTTTGGGACAGTAATTTTTTCACTCACTCGAATTATTTCCCTTTTCTCATGGGAAATGTTATCCTCTGGAATGAAACTGCTTCACTAAGAAACCGAAATAGTTTGAGAGAGGAACGAAAATTTCATAATTTATAGATG